CATCAGGGCTTTGCTCCAGAATCTATACTCAGTATTTGGAAAGGAGCCTGGATAGAGCCCTGGAGCATAAGAAATAAGCATATGAATTTAGGAAGCTGCTTAATGCAAGAGAGTGCAAGCTTTTCTTAATAGGATTCAGGAAAAGAACTTTCCTACCACGTAACATTGGTTTGGGGGTGGGAGAGAGAAAGAGAGAGAGAAAAAAACTGCAGATACTGTGGTTTCAACCTGATTTATTCTATATGCAAAGCACTGTGATGCGCCTAATCAAAAGTGGCAATCTACAGCTTCAGAATCCTGGGGCCTTCGGCCTGATTTCAAAAGCCCTTTGTAAGTAATCAACTCAGATCAGATCTTTTCCAAAAGCAATTTATCCTTTTCTTTGCAGCTGAAGAAAAACAAGTGTGTGTGTGCTTGACGTCTCTATCCACATCCACTTTTTGTCTCTTGCTCTGCCCACAAGTGCCACCTCCAGCAGATTACTTCTATAAGAAAATAGCTCTTGAAAAAAGGAAGGTTGTATATCTTTGCCTTAAATAAATTGAATTTTCCTTCATCTTTCATTCTCCCAGAAATGTTGCATAATCTTCAATTTCATGTAGCCCCAGCCAACCTGACCAACCTCCAGGAATGTCCAGACCATCAACATCTAGATCTGTGAAGTTATGGGAAAAGAGATCCTGTGCTAAAAACCTAAAACCTTTTATTTTCAAATTAATCTCTGGAGATCTATTCCCCAGTTCAGAAGATTGACTAAGAGAAATAATATTCTGACTTATTTCCTCTGCCTCTTTTAAACTTTCTCTCTGCTTTTATACATATCAAATAGCATAGCAATACAATCTCTCACTTTCTTCCCATTACCAGTGAGAAGGTGGAGAGCAGTAAATCACCAACCCAGATACAATCTATATTGCTTGCTTAATGAAGCTAAGTTACCAGAGATAGTTTAAAATGTTAGATACAGTATTATATATAGCACTGCAGCTGAATGAATCACTAGCAACGTGTAGGGATTTTCTGCAAGTATAAATGACCCTTTCTGAACCTTTAAGGCAGTAGGAAATATGAAATTACATCAATTTTATATTCAGTACAGGAGAAAATATAAGCAATGTATGCAATGGGGGTGAGGGGATGTTCTCTACCTTTTAAAGCTGCCTTTCCTTCTTCTTCAGCAGCAGCAACTCTTACCCATTCATAAAAAATAAATTTTGAAAAGACACTACCTAGTTTGCACTATGTTCAAGATCCTGAACCAAATTAAAGACAAAGATGGTCACTTTTCAGGTGACAGCAAACTTTTCAGGACACAGGCAGTGTTATTTCCCTCAAGGTGATGAGCACTAACAGGTTCTACATTTAAAATATGGGTAAAAATCTCATAAATTTTTCATGTGATAAAAAAGCTTTGCCCATTGTGGCAGAAATCCTTCAGATTTGGATCATATTTTATTCCTTTTTGAAAATATTTAATTTTGGAGATCCAGGTTTCCCAGTGAGAGTTGTGGGCATTATGGCTTCTGTGAATGCCACATGACCAAGTTTGCCATATTCAAAGAGAAAATATAACTCAAGCATATTTTGAAAATTTATAGTAAGAGGCCCAGGTCAACCATATTATTGGGTAAGGCCAAGCTGGGAGAAGGGTGCTGTGATAACACAAAAAAGTAACAGAACATTTAATTTGTTATGATAAAACACCGGTAGGATTTTCCACTTGGGTATCAAAATTATATGCAAACCTGCACATCGATTTGAAGGGAAGAGGGCTTATTGGGTTCCTAGTTCCTGAAAACAAAATACCCAGAGCTGGCTGAACTGCAGATGAAATACTTTGGGGGCATAGAAAATGAATTCTGGGAGAAATTGAATTGACTGAATTTCTGATAGAAAAGAATATAAATGGCTCAAGGCTGAAACGTGAGGTTCTTGGTGCTCTCTGGGCTTGATTGTTTGCTTGCAAATATTTCACTACCTGTCTAGGTAACATCATCAGTGTGAGTGTGCGTTTACTGCCTGTTTATATACAGTACATTGCAGCAAACCCCATATTCAGTTACAGTGATGATATTACCTAGTTGGATAATGAAATGTCTGCAAACAAAAAAAACAAGTTCAAAATGCACCAAGAACTTCACATTCTGCCTGACATAATGTTCTTAAAAGCTTAAAAAGAATTTTTTGTCATGTTGAAGGGATTTATTCATTTTGCTGAGAAAGCATTGTGGAGGCAGTAACTAGAAATAGATTTCATCTCATCTGGAAGGAGCTCCAAAGTAGCCTACCTAGGAGATCTGGGAAGAAACCCAACTGGAATTGTTTTGCACCTGAAAATGTATTCTCTTTGCACATCCTCAAGTATTTGAACAGGTGGGACAGACCAAGCCTGTCTTGGTCTGTTTTGAGCTGTTTTGAGCTAAATTGGTTAGAAAGCTCCTGGCATGTATAATCTTTTCAGAATATTTAGTAATTTATTTCCATTTTCTGTTCAAAGTTGCCTTTTTCTCCACAGATATTTTTTCATCCTCTTTCCACAGGGAGATGTATGATACTGTACATGCTAGTCAACTAGATAGATAGATAGATAGATAGATAGATAGATAGATAGATAGATAGATAGATAGATAGATAGATAGATAGATAGATAGATAGATAGATAGATAGATAGATAGATAGATAGATAGATAGATAGATAGATAGATAGATAGATAGATAGATAGATAGATAGATAGATAGATAGATAGACAGACAAACAAACAAACAAACAAACAAACTCCTTGGAGGATTGTCATCATTGGCAAAAAGGAAGAGCAAACACAGGGATCTCATTCAAGGAAAAACTTCACATTCATCTCCTGTGCTTGCACGTGATTTGACTCTAATATCTATTCACTGTGCCTACTGGAATTAATTCACCTGCCCTGTTGCAGTGGCAAAAAAAAAAGACATTGGTGTCTGAATTTCCTTGTGCACAGAGCCCTCTTCAGGAAGAGAAGAGAGAAAGAAGAACCAGAATTGGAGACAAAAGAGGCTAGATTGTCTGAAAAAAAGGAAAAGCAAGACATGGAAGAGTCACTGCTCAACCATACTCAAGAAAAAGGAAGTTGCTGATTTCCTAGCTGTAATTCATTATTATAATCACCATGCACATAAGTAACCCACCTTCTAAATTTAGCTACCATCTATACATTATGCAAATAACACCCACAATTATTCTTTTGGATTGTCCTGTCTTGCCCAGCTTAAAAAACAGAAAGGAAATGCAGAGGTCACGACAGCCTGAATTTTGCACTAAATGTTTGTTTAAATACTAATTTATAGCCTACTTACAGGACAAGGTAGATGGCATTGCAATTAAAAAGACAAAGTAATCTAATTAAGTCATAAGAATAATAATGCATAAATAATTCAAGCAACAAGTAAATACAACAATAATGGAAACTAAATAGATTATATATTATCTAAAACACAGGGTGCTAGAACAGAAGGTGATTGTACATAGATTGGCATCAATAAATCTTTAATTATTTCTACTCTGGTATTCATGCATTTTCGGGCTGTATTTCAGAATTATAATGGCTCAATGCTACTACTAATAATACTATTCCAAAAAAGTACACTTTATACACTTCTTTCTGCATAGCTGTGGAATTACTACCAGCATCAAACTTTGATTATATTCAATGTTACCTATGTATTCTTGTTCGTCCATCGATTTCAATGAAGACCTTGACATCTTATGGCTTATGGGCCATCAACGGTATATCCGTAGATGGCTGATAAGACCGATGTTAGCATGGAATGTTCTGCCACATACTGAACAGAGAAAAGTGGACACTATTGCTTCAGCATTTGCAGCTCTGGCTTTACGGAGTGCTCACTTCTCTTGTGCCAAGATTGTCCTTCTGTGTTCATATGTCTGGCACCCCTGGTAAACCAGGGTACACCATGTCGGTCGATCATGCGCCAAAGATTCCCAAGAGATGGTGTCATTTGGAACTGCTTGTTAATGTCATAGACTTTCTAGTATACATATTTCCAATAATCTGGGGAAATCAGTTCATGTATCTCCATTTGTCAGATCTGCCCCAAAACAATCATTTAGGAAAGCAGATTCTCGACTCCAATTGATTGAAGTGAAAAGAACTTTTGCTAAAGTTGTTGGTTGCAGGAAGGTAAGGCAAAAACTGAGGTTCCTGCTCACCAATACAAAGAGCCAAGCCCACCGTTCCCCATCCCTCCCCCCAATGTCCAGTCCATTGTCACCCAATCTGGGATCGCCATGATGTTGTGGGAAACTTTGGGTTGTTTAGGCTGCTGGAATTTCACACTCAGGGCAAGCAGCCTTGAAGATGCCTGGCATAACCGGTACAAACAGCAAATGGCATTAATTCTTTGTCACTTCATTACTATCTGGTCCTTTCAACTGTGCATGAACTAACCCATGATGAGTTCATGTCTTATACTTTTACCTTAATCCCCCCAAATCAGCTCTACTACATTCAGGAAGGGCATCACCATTTCTTCAAAGCACCATGTCAATGGAGATTCTCAGTCATCCAGGTCATGGTTGTCCCAAAGGTGCTTTTTCAAAAGACAACTGGGCTTTGTTTTTCCTTGAAGATGTTTTGCTTCTTACCCAAGAAGCTTCTTCAGTTCTGAAGAAGCTTCTTGGATGAGAAGTAAAATGTCTTCAAGGAAAACGTCTTTTGAAAAATCACCTTTGGTATTTTCAGAGCACCCTTCTTTTCATAAAATATCTCTCAACCTAATCTGAGAATTATAGAGGTTTCCTGCAAGAGAGATTATTATTCTATTCCCAAATGACAGAGTTGTAGGCACTTTTCTAAATAAAGAAACCAGATTTAAAGGATCTTAATTCAATCCTCCTATATGAATTATTTTGATAGTGGTCATATTTCATTCATCCATTACACATATAGCTTTCCTGTAAATTTCATTTTATTCTATAACAATTAAAACAAACAAGCACATGTTTCTTCCATATACTAGAACTATACATATTATACAATCTCTATACAAAATTGTATAGAGCTCTCTTTTCTCAGAATCCACTTAGGATCATGGATTTAAGTCAGATTGGATCATTGCAGTGAATTAGATCAGAGGATCTGCTTTAGGACTGCTGGAAAAGACTCAAAATTGATGTGGATCATTTTTGTGCCCATTATAGTACTTATTCTGAATAAGAGTACATATTCTGTATCCTTGAGTGACATCAGCTTCCAAACCTGTCAATTAGAAGCTATCTAATATCAAGTTATGGCCATGCAAGATGGACTTTCTTTCTTTGACTGAATTTTCTTTCTTTGAGTAGGGTTGCTATTTGGTGAATTTAAGACTTTTCACATCTAACAAGTCTTGGGTATTTTTCCAAATTGTATAGTGGGATTCATAAGAAAAAAGAAAAGTAACAGAGAGATATAACATACCTCCTGCTTCTGTTTTATGTTGATAAAATAAAAACAAAACCACAAGTGTAAAAGACTACAAGATGTTTTTCATTTTTTTTCATTTGAAAAGAAAAACAGTTATTTCTCCATCTGTTTGAATCAGTGTGGAAAACAACACACGCAAATTTTGGGTAAGTGTGCATATGGGAGTGTATTTTAATAGCATGTAACTGTACTTAATCTACTTAAACAAAAATATTGTACTACTCATTTGCATGCAGGCATCATTCTTACAACAATCCAATTCTTCATAACCATGTTAAACAAATTTTATTATTTTACAGAACTTCTTGTATAGATGAAAAACGAAGAGGAGAGGTAAACAATTTCCCCAAGATCACTATGTACTGTAAGTCTCCCATAGTAAAAATCTAGCTTTTGATCCTCTGGATTAATGAATGTTTCAGAGGAAGAGGAAAGTAAACAAATATCCATCTGTAATCACGTTTTTCAATTGTTTTAACACTGATGGATCAGCCAACTCAAAGAACATAAGAACTAATGACTCATTGCATTGATTATTGTTTAGAGCCTGCTTTGGATGGAAGGTTTTGTCCTGAAAAAACTAACATTCAGTATTACCATAAACTTGGCAATGATTCCCAGGTCCAAACAAGCCACTTGCCAAGCTCAGCAACACAGTAATATGTATTTATTCTGGCCAGGTTTCACAGCATCCCTTGAGTCTATTAGTTCACTTTGTCCTTCATCCTATTATTCCAAATAAATTTATCTCAAATAGCATCCTTATTCAAGAAACCTCAAGATAGTGAATCAGAGTTTTAAATTCTTCTGGGACCTTTGGTAAGTCAGCTGATTGTAAATACTGTACTATATCATACTGTAGTTGTTTCTCTTTTCATCGTCTTTATATAAATTCTTATAGAACTCATATGCCACTAGTTTCTTTCCTTCGTTCTGGCATAGCATGTCACCCTTGGCATTATAAAGTTTGGTAACCCTCTGCTTATTGTATTATAAATAAAAAAAATTTTTTAAAAAAGATAGTGAATCAGAGGAGGCAGGTGTCAACGTAGAAAAATCTAGTCTTACAGGTATAAAAGTACTGTAACTGTTGAAACCATTCCCTGGTTTCCATCATCCATACCTAGGCACATGCACACAACTATATCCTGCTCCATTTACTCAGAAATTCATGCTTGTTTGCTGTACACGAAGATGAGATAGAATTCCTGTACCAGTTTCTGATTCTGCATACTCTGACACTGGGAAATGGAAACAGGTCACTGATCATCCTTTCAGTCGCTTGCCTGTCCCAAAAATGGTTGAGGAATTTTGGCATTAGAGACTCCAAGGAAGTCTTTTCTTGGTGTTAATCATCCACTGAACAAGATGGTGCTAGCCAGAAGGTTCATTTTTTACTGGTAACTTTTTTCTTACGAGCAGCAACTAGGTCATAAAAGGGATCTCTAGAGATGCTGGTTCTAAAATAAAAAAAAATAGAAAAAATATTAAGATTTGACTGTTAGTAAAACGCCGATTGCCTCCTTCACAGGACACAGTGGAATCTATAAGCTTGAAGTTGGGAAAAGAAACAGGCCATGTGATAGTTTTGTACATCTTCCATGTTTACAGGTAATGTGTTATTGAAATTATACTAAGCAGGAGGGCATGACAGTGGCCTTCATATTCTTTCTAGGGAACTTTGGTGGTTACCCCAAAAAGTTGGATACTGGGTTTAGAGAACTCTTCTCATGCTTAGAATGATCATGACAATGAAAGTAGGAAATAAGGAAGAGAGCACTGCTGAAAAGAATATAAAGCATTATTCCCTCCCAGTTTTTGATAACGAAATTGATATTTTTATCTGTGTTTGAAATGTTTGCCAGGATTCTCTTTTCTTTGATTTATGGGGTAAAACAATTTTTCACTATGTTGCTTTCTATCTCTGCTCACCCCTTGGCAACTTCCATCACCAAAAGTATCCCTTTTGTGTCATAATTTGGAAGGAGACCTCAAAAGTAAATGCAGTCAGGTAGTTCACACATGCATGTTTCTTACTTGATGATTGCATAGGAAGTCAAAAAGACCAGAGACAGAATAATGCAATAATTTCAAATGCAATATCTCATGGCAGTTTCATGAAATAGGGATACGAGCCACTGTTAAGCCCACACTAAAATATTTTTCATGTCATTGTTATCCCACCATAGAATGACAGCCTTTCCTCCTTACCTTATGGCTTCAATCCATAGGTCACGGTCCTCCTCGGAGGCTGCAGAGATCTTATAGGACTGGTGCTTGCCTTCAACCACCCTTCCATCCCCATCAGTCTTGCAAGCTTTGATCTTCTGCCCTTTGCAGTTTGCATTGAAGAGCTCAAAGCAATTCTGAGAGGGAAAATGTGGAAAGCAGTAAGAATCAGCAATGCTACTATCTCCAATATCTGGTATGTATGTGCACATCTCTTTTGTGATGCAGGTGAGAAACATCCTGGACCTCTCTATGACCCAGGACAAAGATCCTAAAGAGATTTCATTTACACTGACCAGGATAGCTGGGGATGATAGGACTGCTAATCCAATACATCTGGAAGAGGATGATAGTTTGCACACTTGTTCCATTTACATATGACTTACGTATTCCAACTGGTTTCACCTAGCCCGCCATTTATGGACTAATATGCAGAATGGAATGCAGTTAGTTATTGCAATTATTATCTTACAACATGAGCATTTTGTATTTCTCCAGATGATGCAGCATAGTTCCTAGACCATCCCCATCCATAAAGTACCAACATTTATTTTACAATGTACATTATGAGAAGATATTGGGAGCTAATTAGATTCAGTTCCAATAAAATGCTAAATCATGGAAGATGTTACGTGAAGAAGTCCTCTGCTTAAGCACTTCCCCCTCTCTGCTTTCCTCTCATGCTCTCCTTTCCTTCCATTAGTCATTTGATGGATTTCAGCATACCCCAGTTTTAATTGCATTTTACCATTCTTGTATTAGCCACCTGAGACCATACAAGGAAAAGCAGAAAATAAGCATCTTAAATAGATCATTTGATTACTGCTGGACCGGCAAACTAGGGTACATGCGTATTTTGCAGACCAGGAATAGACATTAAGTTTTGTTTTCCTTTTTTCTAACCTTGATTTTTGATTTACTGAAAATAAAGAGGTAACCAAATCAGAGAATGAAGGCATAGGAAGATAAGGCACCAAGATATAAACAAGCTCGTATTCATTAGATACTTATCTAAATAGAGCTGGAAAATAATAAACCAGTCCAGATCCTATATTGAGTCCATTTTTAATTAGATTCTGAAGATTTGGGATACAGATTTTTTGGGAAAAGGCCATAGCTGAGGTTTCACTTGAATCCCAGATCTTCAGAATGCTTGTGATCTGGGAAGATGTCCATGGAAGGAAGCCCCACTGAGTAAGCATATACAGGCTTGGCATAGTGTCACCTGTTTAATGAAAGGAAAACACTAGCAAGGAATCCCTTTTTGATCATACTTAGCTGGTCCTTGGCAAGAATCAGCCATTTATCCATCCAAATGACATGCAAGAAGTTAAAAGCTCTGATATCTCTGAAAGCTTTGTATGGCAATTTCGCTGCTTCAACTTGGTCTACTCCTTTAATAATTTTCCAGCATGGCATATGGCATTATGTATAATTGCTGAAATTTTCTCTCCCTTCCTATTTTGATAAGTACACTGGGAGACAAGGAAGAAAACTGACTTCTGATCTGGTCCCAGTTTTTCTCCAGTGGAGTTTTTTTGATGAGATCATCCTGACGATGGATGATCTCTGTGAAGTCTGTATCTTGGGTCCAAACATTGAAACAAAAGGTTTCTTCTTATTTTTTGAACAACAATTTTAATGTAGATTTCACAAAACATTATCCTAAAAGCTCCATATTGAAAATATGGAGTAGATATAAACCCAGCCTGTGCCTGAAAATACCTTTAGGGGTCTCAGCACAAGAAGCATTCCATAAGAAAGAAACAGCAGGTAGAGAGAAATTGTTAACCTATTGAGAGCTGTTCGAATTAGAGCATGGAGAATATAAAATGAAATCGAGAGAACAACCGGTTGCAGAGGGGTTTAGTTTTAAAAAGGTCGTTTTTATCATGCTTGGTAGACTTGTAAAAAAAGCCATAAAATTAGACTTCTAGATGAGGAAATGGTAGACTAAAGGTGGCTCAACAAAAGGAGGAAACATAGCAGCATAGAATCATCATAAGGCTGGAAGAATTCAAAAAAATTGAAATAAAGAACAAAAAACAAACAAATAAGACTTTTATACTAGAAAGTTATACCAGAAAGGATTAAGGGTCCAGTTAAATTTGGAATATGATTTTGGAATTCGTTATAATGAATTTTGCATGTGGAAAATAGATTTGTTTGGACTTTTGCAAGACATAAAGGTAAACAATTTTAAAAATTGGAGTCCTTTAATAAAAAGTATATATACAAAGAAGAGAAAGAATTTGAGATCTTAAGTTTCCTATTGCTTTTTTTTCAGTCCTTAAATATACAGTACATTTCTTTGGTGGGGTTTGGAGCAAAGAAATTACAGAAGAAAAGGCCTTATGGGTGAAAGTATCTTTAAGAAATTCAGTTTCAAGTTTTATTAATCACTGTTCTGAAGTTATAATCCCTGGAATTTCCAGTATGATCAACTATGCTGGACTTTGCAGATGAGTCCCACCCATTGTTATAATCCAATCCAAAAAGATCTCCTGAGAGACAATCTTGCCCCCAGATTGAGGAGGCTTGAACAGAGGAATAGAATGGAACCTGAATTGAAATGTTCTGCAGTGCAAAATGTTAGTTCTGATTTATGATACATTGGAATCCTAAATCAACAATGAACAGCACATGAACAAGGGGAATTTAGGGACTGGATTCCACAGACTTCATGGTCATCACTAACTTCTAAAGAAGAAAGGTGTTTGTCTGCGTGTGTGTGTGTGTGTAGACTATAACTAAAAAATGGAAGCAAGTAAATTCTTTATAATTCAGTGGGAAACCATACTAAATGGTTCACATAACACACTAAATTGTAAACATGGAATAATAAAACATAATTGTTGAATTTCCATATCGTGCTATGCCCAAACGAATAAAACATGTATTTAACATAATGGTCTTGTTCTCACATACTATTTATATATTTGTTATATATTGATTATATTTTTATTTTATGTGCTAAAAACATAATAAAAAATCAACAGCAGTTAAAACACAACATTACAATTATAATAGGTGCTATGGCTGCATCTAATAAAACTGTGCTCCTGCAATACACTAAAGCAGAAATTAACTCAGCCTAATCTGGCATGTTTTACAAACCCAATGGCAATGACTTACTGGTTTCTTGGGATCATCTACTGGTTGAACTGATAGGTTTTCCAGCGGGATTATCCCTAGAGGCTCTTTGTCCTAGTAAACAGCAGAAATCATAAGTGAATTGTCCCAGTGTGCATATAATATCAGTGAAATTAATGTAAATCTTAGATTTCCATTTCAACATGTCTGGTAGAAGAGTTAATTCCTTATTTGTTGCATGGGATTCCAGTTCAGCCAAAAACAAAAACAAAAATGTGACATCTTACAAGAAGTCCTACAGTTGGACTGGGAAGCAGAATTTCTTAAGAGTTTGGAATTAAGATTAAGATTAAAATAACCTTTATTGTCATTTTTTTACTTTGAGCGCACTGGTACACATTAAAAATGAAATTCTATTGCTTGCTCTCAAAAGAAAGTGTATATCTACCCATACACATACATAACACAATATACATATACAATATACAATATATAATATACATATACATATAAACAGTGCTTTTTTTCTAAAAAAAAAAAAAAAAAGGTGACAGAACTCACACACAGCATACAACCCGCCTTGCCTACCCTACAAGGTTCCATCCAAAAAAGGTGCCGGAACTCCGTTCTGGGCGTTTTATGAGAAAAAAAGCCCTGCATATACATATACATATACATATACATATACATATACATATACATATACATATACATATACATATACATATACATATACATATACATATACATATACATATACATATACATATACATATAATACATACACATACATACATACATACATACATACATACATACATACATACATACATACATACATACATACTCTCCCATGGACTGGCATTTTAGCCCTGACGATGTCGGAAGATACCAACGAAAGCTTGGTGATTATCTATGTTATTAATCTTTTTTAGTTTATTATACTCCTGGTGTTCACGTTTTATTGATTTGAAGATACATACATACATACATGCCTACACCAAGGAATGACAATTTTTGATACAACTTCTGTTTTAGAAAGGAATCAGGGAAATAATTCATTCCAGAAAGTCAAAGCAATGAGATTACGATCTGCAGGTGATACATACTACCCCATATAATTTTGAAGAACCAGAGAGCCTTCTGCTAATGCAATCAGATAAAGGATTCTGCATCCTTTCATTAATTTTTTCTCAGGTTGATTGCTTATCTCTACAACTAGAAGTAGTGAACCAAGCATAATCAAGCATGAAGTATACTAATGTGGAAGACCATAAAGCTGGAAGATTTCTGCTTGGATATATCAGCAGGATAAAGTCAGATAGTGGGCATACTCTTCCTGAATACAGTTGTGGCTCAACAGAGCAGTCAACGTGGAGCTTAGACAACTTTCTGATTCACTTAAGCTGTAAGACTAGACAAGAAATCTTATATACTGAAGATAATCCCCGAGGACACTCTTACCGTGGTGTATTCAAAATAGTACAGGCAATTATCTGTCAGAATGAACCAGCGACGTTTCCAGGTCTTCACTCTGCCTCCTAGAATTAAAAAAAAAGAATTAAATGAGCTAATTAGGGGATTTTTTGTTTTTGTTTTTGAAAGAGAGAGAGAGATAGTGGTAAAGCTTCATGTCACACATCCATAAAAATGGGAGGTACTATATATCTCAATATGAATTAATGAATAAACAATATTTGCTTTAGCTAGTAAAGCCAGGGGTCAAAATCTTCATCAAAACATCAAAAGCTAAGTACCAGTTTATTTATTTATTTTTCACATTTCTGAACCATCCATCTCCCTCAAACGACTCTGGGTGGCATATAATTAAAACATTGAAATATAAAACAGTGTATAAAATTTTAAAATGTTAGAATTAAAAGTTTAAAAACAAATAAAAAATATAAAGGAGGCAAGAGTAATTAAACCCCATTAAAAACTGATTGGCAAAAGCAAAAGGAGGGAGGGCTCTCGTGGCACCAATGCACCCTTCAACTGTGTGCTCCTTTGGGCTCCCCACGCAAGGCCGCAGAGCCATAATTTAATCCTTTTTCAGAAGGCCAGGAATGTGGGGGTCTGCCTCAGCCCCGGGGAGAGAATATGCTATAAGGCAGAGGCAATGGCAGAGAAGGTTCTCTTTCTAGAGCCCACCAGTCGGAGTTCTTTAACTGATGGAATCTGCAACGTATGTAATGGGACGAAGCCACTTCCTTAAATAGCCTGGCTCCATGCTACATAGTGCTTTACAGCTCATAACACACACTTTGAATGGGACCCGGAAGCAAATTGGCACCCAATGCAGTTTGCAGAGCAGAGGTGTTACATGTGCCCTTCTAGGGGCATCCAGTATAGCTCTCGTGGCCACATTTTGTACCAGCTGAAGCTTCTGATACTTTTCAAGGATGGCCCCTGGTAGAGTGTATTGAAATAGTTCAGACAGGAGATGACCAAGCCATGAACGGCCAAGTAGAGAGCCTTCCTATCCCGGGACAAGGAGTTTGCCTACTCCTGGTTAAAAGAGATGAAATTAGAATTCTGCCCTATAATATCCTACATTTCATGGCATAACCTACAAAAACTTGTTTCTAGTCCATCATCTAATCCTCAAGCTCTTGCTGCTGTACAGATACTTTTTTCAGCTTATTTATGCTAGTTTTTTTTTTTAACAGAGTGTTGGTTTAGGGCAGAAAAATATCTATCTCAAGAGCCAAATATTATCCAAGACTATCTCCAGGAGAGGGTTCACATCATAAAATGTGGCCAAAAGTCTTCCAAGTCTCTCTCTTTCAAATCCCCTTCTTTTCCCCTGGATATCATCCAGTTCCCATAGCAATACTGAAGGTGACAGGCATTGGAGAACCAGCACTTGAAAAGTTTCACAACTAGAGCGTTCAAGATTGCTTTCTTAAAATACTGGTAGTTATTGTCTTATAAACATTCATTTAGTGATCATTTGAAGTTACAAGGGCCCTGAAAAAAGCGACTTACGGCTGGTCTTCACCCTTAGAATCATGTGATCAAAATTTTGGCATTTGGCAACCAGCATATATTTACAACACTTGCAGCATCCCAGGGTCATGTGATCACCCGCCAGCTTTCAACAAGCAAATGTCAGTGGGGGAAGCTGGATTCGCTTAACAACTGCAGTGATTTGCTTAACCATGGCAAAACAAGATCATGAACTAGGTCACTTCTCACTTGAAGCACCTTGTTTAGCAACAGAAATTCTGGCCCCAGTTATGGCAGTAAGTTGAGGACTACCTGTATATTTTTTTTCCTTTAAAAGTCATGGCTTGGCTTCTCAGTGAAGAGAAGAAAGGAGAGACGGTGTTTAGGTAAAATGGGACTTTGCCCCAGGAATGTTATGGATTTGATTCAATTGGAGCCAAAATACTCTATTCTTTTTTTTGCGGCTTTTGATTTATACCTTTAAAGAGCACAGAGGAAGACGTCAAAGAGCAGCCAAGCAGAAGAGTGCACTGTTAATCAGAAATAAGCCTCACCAGCTTAATCCTAATAAGCAGGTTGATGAATTAGTGAAACAAAGTATATGGATGGGAAAGGAAAGAAAAGAGCATTTCATTAAATCATCTCTCTTTGAATTGTGAGCTGCTGTACAAATTATTGGTTAAATTACTGGGTTTTGACAATTCTGGTTCAAATCACCTGCTCATAAATTTGGTTTATTATGCAGGCTTAGAAAGCCTGTCAACATAGCCACAGAGTTTTCAATTTATCCTTTGAAAAAGTGTCCCCAGCACTCTCCCCAGCAGCTGGTTCTCCAGGTGGCTTTCCCCCAGCCCATTAAATGATGCAAGTCAATAGGATATTCAGTAAAACTTTAAGTGACAGATATATATGCCATTTTGTGTGCTGGATCATATCATGCAGCAACTAGCATAAGTTACGTCTTTCTCATGATATGGTAAATGTGAACACATTTCATTAAAACATTTTGTAATTTTAACGATACATGATGTACAATCATTGATGTGAAAAAGTAAAATTCTCAACAAAACTTTAAAAAAAAAATGATGCAAGTCCACTTCCCAGGCCAAGTGAGGACCAAAAGATCAGCCACTGTGTTATGGCCTAGTGCAGTCTGCAGGAGTCTCTAGAGAAATATATACCAGAGCCAAACACCAGGGGTCATTCTCGCCCCATAGCTGAAGGCTGGCTGTCTGGCTTCTGCTGCTGCAGTGCTCTGCTCCAATATTAACACAATCCTTTTCCTTGAAAAAAGACTTAAAATTGAGTAGAAGTCAAGAGCAAGTTGTTTTTATTTTCTTATTAGCAAATTAGAAGCAGGTTACCTAGCTTGAGGAGCCAGCCTTCCCGACTAGGGTTGAAGAAAGTGTGGGTGAGATCATTTCCGTCGTCCTCTGGGATGGAAAAGGGTTCGTTTTTGATACTCTCAAATAAATTCTGCCAGGGAAAAGGAGAAGAGAAAGAAAGGGGAAGTCCTGAAGAGTATAAATGTTCAATTTACCAGGTCAATGTATTTACTTATCTGGTGCAGTAATAGGCCTCCTGATTTGATATCTCAGGCGGTCTTCCCCTTCCCGTGCCACCCGTTCCTTTTGATTGGTCTGGTCCTTGACTGGATCTGGAATCTCTTGCATGGAAAACAACGTCTCCATCACTTTGAAATGGACAGTCCTTTCCATTTATTAACTGGCAAATTTGCACTTTCTTAAGTTTAACCATATAGACCAGGGGTGTCAAACTGGTGGCCTGTGGGCCGGATGCATCACGTGCAGGCCATGCCCACCCCAGTTCCGCAAAGGCAAAAACCGTCATGATATGTCACAATACGTCATGTGATGCGATCGAATTTGACACCCATGATATAGACTAAACTAACCTGAGTCCCTAAAGACATGTAATATAGTTGTTTGAATACACATACAATTTTGACTGAATCACTAGAAATCTAGTCACACTATTACCACTTATTGAGTGGAGTCTAAATAAACTTCTTTGTTCAGCAAAATGAGATAGATATATGCTTTGCAATTTTTTTAAAAAAATGCAGGAAATTAGTCAAACCACTTCATTCTATCAGTTTTCTCTTTACATATGTGTGTGTATCACTTCTTGTAATGAAACTATGTTTTCCTACCATTTCTCTCAATCTAATTTGAAACCACAGTCATAAAGCAGATGCTGTTAATCAGAAATAAGCCCCACCAACTTAGCCCTAATAGGTAAGTTGATGAATTGGTGAAACAAATGGATGGGAAGTGAAGGAAAAGAGCATTTCATCATTAATGAAATTAATTCATTCTATGCTTGAGAGCCAATTTGGTGTAACGGTTAAGGTATCAGGCTAGAAATCAGGAGAGCATGGGTTCTAATCCTGTCTTAGGCACAAAGTCAGCTTGGTAATTTTGGGCCAGTCACTCTCTCACAGCCGTAGGAAGCAGGCAATGGCAAACCACTTCTGAAATCTTGCCAAGAAAACAGTAGGAACTTGTCTAGTCAGTCCTCAGGAAAATAAAAAAGTGATCGGAAGATAAGCACACACAAGTATGTTCAGGAAGTGAATTTCCATTTTACAGCATTTTCTTAAATCTGAGAGAACCACAAGTTTTGACTATGTGCATATAACTTATTGCTACGTTTTTTAAAGTGATTTCTCATCCAATGAAGTAATACTGGGATATGATGTCATATATTATGTAATGTTCCTGCAACTTCCTGAAATTGCTTACCCCAAAAGCTCCGCTTTTACTCACAAAGTAATTTCAGATTCCTATGCAAAGTTGCGTAGGAGCATTTCAAGATAATTTTTGAAAACTGATACTGAATTTGTACAGCTTTGCAAACTTTGACAGAAAATAGTGGTAGCTCTACGGTACAAATCAAACATGCTATGAAACCCTACTGAAGAGCTTGAGCTCTGCAAGAATAAAAATGAAAAAACTGTATAATTCCAACACTGGTCCACATTCAGCAGAAAAGCGAAAGGCCATATCTTGATGCAGATATAACTACGTTAATCAAGAGTTCCCATTAATGTAATGAGGCTTATGTGTATACAAATGTTTGCTAAAACATAGCTGTGAAAAACATTGCTGATGGGCATTTCAATTTATGGCTATCAAGTATGATTCCATTTGTCTTTTATATACTTGATAAATGCACCACAAAATAATTTGAATATCCCTATCTAGCTTAGGGATCCTAGAATAAATACAAATATTACCACAAACTACAAATCCTGGTGATTACATGGACACATCCATGTCATTTTCTTAGCAACAATTCAGAAGTGGTTTGATATTGATTTTTCCAAGTTTTTTTTTTTTTAAATTCCTTATCTAGCCTACAGCTTTGTACTTCCTTAATGTTTCATCCAAATCTAACCAAGTTTGAAAAAAACCTAAGATCATCTACTGGTAGGTACTGATAGAATTCTTTACTTGAATATGAGATGATTTTCTTTTATGTCTCATCTCATGTACTCCATTCGTTTGTTAGGGTTTAATGTAATTAAAAGATGCCAACCTGATCTACAAACTGTGAATACAAATCAATCAATCAAGTTATTTTGGGTATTTGGCAATAGATTAGAGCATCTTTTTTAGACCTATGACAGGGTATGTCTAATATCTCAGAGTAATTTGCCTTTCCTTAGCAAACAATGCTATTCACAGATACTATTATGCAAATTCTCTCATCACTCCATGAGTATACTGGGGATAACTGAATTTCTGAAGTGCACACAACCATTAAAACCACCAGAAATCTATTAGAAAAGGTGTGTTCATATCAGTAAAACAGACTGACAATTTGAGTTTATTTTATTACCTTACCTTCAGAAGTACTTCTTGAAGATCTTCTCCATTATTGATGCCTTTGTTCATGGACATGAACCGCTCAAATGGAGGCTTATCTTTGACGTTTGGATTATGGAGGCTGGTATTCAACATGATAACCGAGAATGAAAGGATGTAACAGGCATCTGACAAAGAAAAATGTAGGGTTAATAGCTGACAGTAGTGGATTTCTGAAAGAGAGAGTGATGATACCTAATGAGGCCTTCTAGAACAAGGGACTTACCTTGATACCTCAGCCTGTAACAATTTTCTCCAAAATATTTGCCAGTCACAAAGGCAATTCTGGGCTACTGTACATGCTTTTGTGACAGCCTCATTCTGTATACACATTGTGATTTTATTTCTGGATCAGTGCAATAAAAGAAATATTGAGACTACTACAAAAACAGTAACAGAGCTTAAGTAAAACAGCCCAGGGTCTTCTGGAGTTGGCAGCCATAATAAATATAAATAAGTAAATAAGCCTCATCTCCATTTCTTCAAGCCATTGAGACAGCACTGTCCAAAGACATTTCTGCGGGTCATGTGGCCAGCATGGCATCATACTGCACAGGATGCATACAGAGAAACACAGAACATTGTTATCTTCTCACTGAAGTGGTACCTATTTATCTACTCACATTTACATGCTTTTGAACTGCTAGTTTGCAGGAGCTGAGGCAAGTGATGGGAACTTTGCCTATCTAACTGCTAGAATATAGACCTTCTCCAGCATCTTTTAAGCCACTGAGCCACTGTGCCTCAATGAGTTGAAAGGCAGTACAGAAAATATACATTAATTGAGGCAGCTACATCTTGGGCTTGAAAGTTAGTAGATAATACAGAAATAGTATAGACACATTGATTTAAAGCACAGATTGAAATCAGACAGATATCTCTATCCATGCTATTAGGACTAGTGTTGTAGGATCCTAAATAAATATCTCCATCCATCCATTCACCTGTTGACTGAAAAATGCCTGGGTTGCAGTGACAATACCAATTGGCAAAAGCTTCCATCATACGGTCAATCTTCTGGGCTTCTCCAGGCAAACGGAAGCTCCACAGAAACTGCCTGTAAAGGAAACCATATCTTCAGAATCTTCTGTCAGAAAATGATAAAAATTTCCTGTCATAGAAACTAGAGATGATGTTATGATGCTCCAGACATTACTGAAAGCATGGTTAGTCTCCCAGGCCTTGGTAGAGGTTGGTTGTTGGAACCCTTGTTAGTTAACCCAGTTTTGTTTTTTGGGTGAGACATTTTCTCTTTTATATGCATTTTTTTTCTGTTACATATAAGTTGCCCAGAGTCACTGAGGAGTTAGGTGGTCTTAAAATTGGAATTAGTAATTAAATTAACAATTCTGCTATTTATGGTAATGTTTTTCAGCTGATGATTTTTTAATTGCATAGAACTTTTGACTTAGTTGAGAGGAAGAGGACAATCTTTTCTTTTTGCAATAAACTGAAGTCCAGGTTATAATTGTGGCTTCACACATGTGACCTAAGATTTACTTCATACAAAGCAGCTGTGTTCATCTAACATGCATAACTAGTTCAGTTATGAGCCTAGATGCTACGTTTCCACAGTATACTAAAAACTGGGTTAGTTTTGGGGGCTTAGTTACTTATTTTGTGAACTTGAGCCATTTGATTACATTATGGTTCAAGTTATGGTACAAGCTCAGTGACCATCTTGTGTGCCAACTGCTCTACTATTGGATCGATTTCTCTTCCATGCCACAAATTTAGAGTCACTTTTCACAGTGGCAGAGTCTTGAATCTTTACTGGTTTTGCACAGCAAGGCTGGAATTTATCTAGATATATATTATATGCATAGAATGGAACAGAAACTGCTTAAGTGCCTGAGAGAATTTATCCATTTGCTTCACATTCACAGCATCTCAGTTGGTTCCCCTCTAGAGAAGAAAAATGGGCATCAAGATCAAAAGAGAGCCATAGAATAATAGAGTTAGAAGGGACCTTGGAGGTCTTCTAGTCCAACCCTTTACTCAAGCAAGAGATCCTATTCTATTCTAAACAAGTTGTTGTCCAGACTCTTCTTAAAAGCCTCCAGTGATGGAGCACCCACAACGTCTGAAAGCAAACTGTTCCACTGGTTAATTGTTCTCACTGTTAGAACATTTCTCCTTGTTTCTCTCCTTGATTAGTTTAGCACCTAGCACCTAGTCTCAATATCTGAGTTACTTTGCATGTTTTGAAACTCACCGTAGTGCTTGCACAAGATTGAGATTGGCAAACTGGTGGCATTCTACAAAAGCCTGCAGTATCTGGAGATTCAGTGGATCCCTGGAAGGAGAAGATGATTAAGGTGAGAGACGTGGATTTTTTTTCCTCCCCCAAACATATTTTCCCCTGTGGCCTGAAGGCCAGAAGTGAAACGTAAGTGTGTTTATTCACTGACGATGGACTTACCTTTGCCCCAGGTAATCTCCTATGGCTGTTTTATTGAGTCCTTCTCCCTGGTAAAGAAATTTGGCAACTTCTTGTGCATCCAAGGAGAGTACCTTGTGCTCAACCAGATATTGAATACCCTGTTGAGGAAAATAGAGGATCCCTATGAGTTAACTGTGAATGGACTGTTGCTTCCAAGAAACAAACAAGAATGTGTAAAATAAGGGGCTATAAAAATGAGTGATGGTTATTGTTATATGTGAGCAGCTTAGCATAACTAGTTCCAGTTCTGATCACCATAATACAAAAAAATGCTGAGGCCCTAGAAAGAGTGCAGAGAAGAGTAGCAAAGATAGGTGCCTATCAAAGAAAAAGATTATGAGTGACATGATAGCTGTCTTCCAGTACTGAGGGGCTGTCACAGAGAAGAGCAATTAGAAGTTGTAGATGTTCCATCACTTGAGGTTTTCAAGAAGAGATTGGACAACCATTGGACCTCCCACCCAATGGGAGGTCTCCTAATCAAGCAGAAGGTTGGACTAGAAGACCTCCAAGGTCCCGTCCAACCCTGTTATTCTATGTTCTTTGTTCTATGACCTGAATCTTTTTTAAGCCATGAATTATCCCTTATTGCAAGTCTCAGGAATATTCAGTTGCTAAAGAAAAATGTAATAGGTTGTATAACTGGTTAATAATTTCTTCTGCTCTATGTATTTTAAGATTCCCAACAGTTTTTTTCTCAAAATTCAGCTACAACAGTTGGGCCATATGTTCCTAGTAAGCAAAATATAGCTGGATTCTGGAGCTCTGCTTTAGGCCCTGCTATTGTGGATCAGAACTGATTTCTTAACAAGAAATTTCTCTGTGGTGACATCATAACCATAGGATTCTCTTTCACGCATATGTAACTTCCTTAATTAATTGCATCAATTAAGTGAAGATATTTTGTTCCACCAGTTCCTTATTTTATTTTTCAATGTGTTCAACTTGCAGCTGTGTTTACAATAGCACTCCTCAATGTGAAGGTAAGTGGGAAATGGTTCTCAGAGTTGACGTTTTAGTGTTTACACACATATTCTTATTTGAAGAAGATGGATTTTAAATAGGGTTGGATATATTCTCTAGTTGAACTAGTTTTGCATGTGTAGGTTCTTTAATAACGTACAAATTGATCAGAAATAATAATGCAACTAATAAAGTGAGCTTAAAACACAATGGAAATCAATCATCCTATCAAATTGTCCTCCGTGTTTTTTTCTTAAAGTCCTTGTTCATATTCAACACACCTTTACCCCATTGTAGTAAGTGGTCACTTTTGACTGTAGTGTTGTTAGTAAAAGGAAGTAATTACACTGAGAGTATCAGAAAGATATAGTTCAGCATTAAGTGCAATTCACAATGGGTTACAGTCAGTGGAAAGCACAGAGATAATTACATCTAGAAAAGAAAGATAAGGATAAAGACAACTTCAGTTCCATCTTTATGTAGGCAAGTACCTGGTTGTGACAAATAGAAAGAAATATGGTGAAACCAAAACATGGGGATATATAAGAGGTTCAGAATGAAATTAGCTGTGGTTTACACAACTGCTAATTAGTAATTGTGGTTTTCCTTTTAAAGTATACGCTATCAATTCCAAAGAAGAGAAAGACGATTGGAGAAATACCAATGCACTCTTTATTCATAAGGAAGCGGATGTCGGAAAGGAGCAGAATATTTTGTGTATTCGTAACATTTTTCATTAGAAAGAGGGTGTTTTCTGATCATTCGTTAGAAAGAGGATTTAGATTTCTCAGAGCTGGACCTGTCTTTCATCATATGAGTTATTTCATTTCTTATAATTTCATAGTGGACTCATTACTTGGCTTTCAAAACTTTCATTCAAGTTTTCTAATTTTTTCCATTCTCTTTTTCAAGTAGTATATAAAAATTTGGCTTAGCTAATAATGTCTCTGTGTGTGTGTGGTTTATTTTTTTTATAAAAGCAACTAAGAGCCTTTCTCCATGGCTGTGTTAAAGTGCTATCAGCCAATCTTTGAGCCAGTCAAAAACTTTATTGGCATTAAAGTTGCTGGATCCATCAATTCCCTATTCTTCTATTGGCACAAAGCTGCCAAGTGATGTCATCCTTATTTATTATCCACGGGGCATGTTAAGAAAGGGCTTTGGAGAATTTCCTCAACTTTGTTTTCCTTCCTCTCATCATCATCTGACTGAAAACAGCTATCAATTACACTCTTTATTGGGGCATAGGGATTAGGGGGAGTTGAATTTTTACCAATGGCTGGTCTGGCATATTTAGTAATCTTTAGTTAAAATTCACTCTGACTTTGAGCAAATATTTTGCATATCTGAGTTCAACAGGAGCCCAACTATTATCTGACAATGGGGATCTTTTTGACATGGGTTTAATACACTAAATCCAACTCAAAACAAATAAAAACTTTAGTGCTTTTCTCAAAGACCATTAAAGCCATATTCAAAACCAGAGTAAACAATAGATAACTGGGTGGGGGTTATGCCACCCAGTCCAAGTACCACCACCTCTGTTTCAGCTGCTATTTGGGCTGGTCCCTAAGATATGGATTGGCTTTGAGACATGGTAAGTACAAGAGAAATTCCTTCCTTCCTTCCTTCCTTCCTTCCTTCCTTCCTTCCTTCCTTCCTTCCTTCCTTCCTTCCTTCCTTCCTTCCTTCCTTCCTTCCAGAAAATAGCTTTTTGAAACATGAAAGCTTTAAATCTTAAATTAAATCTCAATACAGACTTGTTCCTACCTTATCAGGATCCATATTAAATTTTTTCCGTCCAGTGCTCAAGTTCTTATCCCTCTGAATACGTTTGCTGCAAATATAAAAATAGGATCAGAGCACAGGGAAAAACAAAGGAAAGCCACCTTCTGTCTTTTCTAGCTGTTTGCTAAGTCCCAGAAATGTACACCAAACTTCCCCCATTGGATGCATTCAAGTTCAGTTTATACAACTGGTTTACTTAATTTTAGGCACATTCAATCTCAGTCGCTTACTTGTTTTATGTCAGACAAAATATAGGTACAAATTAAACATTACTAATTTATGAAATAAAAGGAACAGTATGAAGCAGAATAGATCTCCTCTGGTGTTGCTCTGTGCCCATTTTATGGAGCTTTTCATGCAAAAAAATTAATTATAAGCAATATTATAAGCAATAAAAGCAAAGTAAGTTTGGTCTAGTGCTTAAGGCACCAGGCTAGAAAGCCAGGGACTGCGAGTTGTAGTCCCGCCTTAGCCATGAAAGCCAGCTGGACAGTTACTTGGACAGTTACTCTCTCTCTCAGCCCATCTCACCTCACAGGGTTGTTGTTTGTGAGGAAAATAGAGGAAGAAGGTCTGTTGCCACCTTGAGTTATTTATAAAAAATAATAAAGGTGGCATATAAATAAATATTTCTATTCTACTATATATTACTGCCATAGTATGGTATACATAAGACATCCACTACTCTTGTTCTCGGTAATCTTATGTTTCAAATCAAAGTTTCTATTACAAAGTTTCTATTCTATTGTTTAGAAGATCTCTTTAAGCACTTGTTTAGCTTAGTTAATAGTTTAGTTTATTGATTAGCCCATAGGCTAGATCAAGATACAGAGTTCCAAACATATAATATTAATAAAAACAATTTAAAATGAAATTGGAGTAAAATACAATAATTTAATATATAGACAAGTAAAATAAGATAAAATTATATTTCAGTATCACCTCTACAATCTACCCCAATCAGTCCCACGTAGCCAATTTTATCCGAACCATTTTACTCAAGTACTGTGCTGTACTAAGTGCTGTTTTCAGATTCTGGCCACACATAAGATATGTTGTTTTAATATGGGGTTCCCCATGGGTCATTCATTTAACATATGAACCAAGATACCTGTCTCTCACCCTCTTATACAAACAACAATAAAATAGGATGTGAGCCAAGTCTTCTACCTCTATCTCCGCAAATGCATATACGTCTATCGAATGGTATAGAATGAAACCTCCTATATTTGACCATTGTATCAAGCTGTTCGAATCCTGCTTGCGTAAATATCTCCCTAAGATGTTTTGGCAATTATAACTCTAAATTTTGGCTTAATGATGTTTTCAAGAAAACTGGGAAACTCTGTATGATTGACTTGTCAAATTGATGACATATAATTGCTTATAAAGATATACCTGTCCCAATCAAATAGGCAAATCAAAATGGCAATTTAAATTTAGAATTTAAAGAAGAAACAGTTTGCAGTTTTGACTAGTCTGGCTTTAAAAAAACCCACTTAGATTGCTTGTGTTCCTTGTGCATATAAAATCCAGCTGTTTTTATTGGATCAGTTTCTGATCTCCCATGGAGCTCTCCCAGGTCCTGAATACCTGACACAGGCTGCCTGTAACTAGCTTTTTTTAAAAAATAAAATAAAATAAAAAATAAAAATCCAAGAACTGCTGTTACAAATTGCAGGCAGAGTTAAATGACAGAATGGCAGTTCTTATTTCAGGCTAACAGATTAATCAAGCAGAAGTTAGGATGCAAAGCAAGCTGTATAACTCTGAGTGCTCTTAAGTCTCACTGCTGCTGTTTTTCCCTTAACGTATGTTGCTTTAAAGTGGCTAATTCAGTGTTTTTCAAACTTTGGCAACTTTAAAATTATATCAGGGGTGTCAAACTGCCGGCCCGCAGGCAGGATGCGTTATGCCAAAACTACGCCCCCACCCCATTGCCGGCAATGGAAAAAAAGTTGTGATACATCGCGACACGTTACATGACGTTGCAAGTTTGACACCCCTGAATTATATGGACTTCAAATCCCAGATTCCCCAGTCAGCACTGTGGATCATTGGTTAAACTCAATTCTCCACTAATTTAACTAACATAGGGAAGGCTGTTAGCTGCATGAAAAAAACCCTTTTATATGCAAAGATTATTTCCTAGTTTTGTTTTATTTATATATATATTTACTGTATGTATGTATGTGGCTGGCACCTCACCATGATTGTGCTTGCTGGAAATGATCAATCTCCAGAAATATTTCAGCAATCTCTTGATTTATTTTCTGGAAGCAAGAAAAACCAATGAGAATCAATACAGCCAGAAAAACAGTGACCACACTGAATGTTTTCCACATATTCTGTATAGGTGGTGAAAAAACAAACAAACAATGATTACATGCCAAATAAACAGATGCATATATTTTTCAGTCATTTCATTTAGATGCAATACACATATTTATTTATCCTTAGAATATATGTCCATGATACAGATGAAAAATATATGTGGAAAGATAGAGATTCTTTAGATCAATAAGTCAGAGGCCAAGTTGAGATGGTCATGCACCAAACTTCTAGTAATAATGCCAGGAGTCTTGTTCCAGAAGCATAGCCTTTATCCAAATATATTGTTCTATCTCACAGGAAAATAGTGCTTACTCAGGTCAATACATTTGACTTTATAAGACCTTTTCTACTACCTATAACCCTATTAAATCCCAGGTCAAAAATTAGCTAGCTGCATTATTGATTTGCTTTCTCTCAGCCATCCCCAACTGGGATAATCCAAATGTTCTTGAGTAGACCTCTTACAATTTCCACTCCACAGTCAATAGGCATATGGAATGGAATTGTGCAAGTTGTAGTCTACCCCAGGGGTCCTCAACCTTGGCAACTTTAAGACCTGTGGACTTCAACTCCCAGAATTCCTCAGCCAGTTAAAGTCCACAAATCTTAAAGTTGCCAAGGTTGAGGACCCCTGGTCTACCCTATCTAGTTGGGGAATGAGAATAATTCCTACCTGAATGTCTTCCAGAAAGTCTTTCTGATGCTTCTTCATTATCTTTAGCTCAGTGTCCTCAGCATCATTCAAGTCAGATGTATCTGAAAGAGAGCAGCTTTTTTACTCCCACCATAAAACTCACTGCAGTAATAAAAATAAGATCCCAAAGGGTAAAAAAGGGGGGGCAAAATATGCTTTTTTAAAAAAATCCCACTTACATGTAGATTCTTTCATTCACCTTCATTGAAAAACAGGCAGATCTAGACTGTCATGGAATTTTCATATTCCAGGGGAAAAAATTGTTTGATTACTCCAGAACAAAACCCATGAGCTGCCATGAGAACGGAAAGTGCTCACAAGAAAAGAAATTTGCCAGATAGCTGGAGTCAATGAATGAAAAGTTCAAGTATTGGGGCAAATGGCAATGCAGTGTTTTTATTTATTTATTTATTTATTTATTTATTGAATTTGTACCCCGCCCTTCTCCTTACGGACTCAGGGCGGCTGACAGCCTGATAAAAACAAATACAAAAATACCCCAATTTAAAAAACATAATTAAAATGAAATATTGGATTTGGCCTGTGTCAATTTAAAATTGTTTTTAAAACCCCGCTAAAAATCTCCCCCTAGGCCAGTCCTGCTTGTTGAAATAGCCATGTCTTAAGGGCGCAGCGGAAGGAAGGGAGATCCGGGATCACCCGGATCTCTGGGGGTAGTTCATTCCAGAGGGTGGGAGCTCCCACCGAGAAGGCCCTCCCCCTGGGAGTCGCCAGCCGGCACTGTCTGGCTGACGGCACCCCGAGGAGACCCACTCTGTGGGAGCGTACCGGCCGATGGGAGGCACTCTGAGGCAGAAGGCGGTCTCGGAGATATCGGAGTGTTGAAGTTCAATTGGGTAGTCAGAAGATAAGTTTGGAAAAAAAGAGTAACAGGAAAAGGCCTGAAGTAGATTGATGATGTTGATCCCGGAAACTGAATTTGCATTAACTAGAAACTTTTATAATGAGAGCTTTTCTGGTTATGCTTCTGTTTCAGCTATTTCTCAGATAAATGACACCATATGGATGTTATTGAAAAGTCTGTTTGTGTGTTTTTCATTGTTGAAAGCAGGAACTGTGATGCAAATCCATGCAGATGCTGCTATTCCTGAGAATTTAGAAAGAGTTCCAGATTTCTTTTCTGGCTTAAATGCAAGGCAAGCTGAACTGATTCTTCTTTCCTATTGTTACCATTTTTAGAACATACCATGATGCCTGCTGAGCTATCTTCTCTGAATAGGTGTCTTCTTCTGGAGAATGAAGTTCATGACTAATAGGGATTTGAATCCAAGGTTTTGAAATGCTAGTATGTCACTCAGTTTATTCTACTCAATTCTATGTCCCTATCCACTTAATTTTTAAAAATTAATATTGTGGGAATGACAGATCTGTTTCCATAAAACTGTTTCAAATCCACTTGAATTAAAAACTTTAATTGCTGTCATAATATAGTAGTAAAATGAGTGGTTAAAAATCAGACTAGTGCAGGCATTGTGTGACATTCTGTGGAAGTTAAAGTTGGAGTTTGAAGAAGCAAGATAAAAAGCATATTGGCATTTTTGAATTTCTGGTATTGAAAAAAAAATCCCTAAGAATGCTATGGACAGTGGGGAAAAAAGGATCATTGAACAAATCGACCCAGAGTTCTCACTCAAGACACATAGCATCAGGATGAAATTATCTTACTTTGGACACATCATACAAACATCTAGCTCCCTAGAGAAGTCTGCGATACTGGGAAAGATGGAAGAATGGAGAAGACGATGATCAGCTGTATAATGGATGGGATTTGTTACAATGGCAATGGGTACACCCTTGGAAGGTCTGAAAGATCTAATTGGGGCAAATTGTCACGGAGAAAATCTATGTGGTTTCTAAGAGTCAAAAATTTGATGGCACATAATCAGACAATCAGTCAAAATGCGAGATTGAGCAGAATAATCTTATGGACCCTTTTAACTCAATACAGCCTTTTTGAATGGGGGAAAAACAGGGAAAGAGAACAAATAGATAACCAAATGGAAATTACAGCAATACAGCTAGTATTGGGTTATGAGAATGACTGCCTGTAACTGCACTTTTGTTGAAGAAGAAAGATTGGAGTAGAGGATCAGTTTCTCTTCCTGCCAGGTGTGATTATGCAGAGATTTGCATAAAAGCAAGCAGGCTTTGGCTTTAGTGAGAACAGTCTACAAAATGGTGAGGGTTGGATGAGTTGCTTTGAGCTGGTATCTACCCATGTTTGCTCCAGTAAATGGCTTTAATCTACCATGATTTATTTCAAAGAAAAACAATCCTCAGTGTAAAGTGCTTGAGTCCCAAAAAAACTCACAACATGGAGGACTGAATGAATAATTCCTCAGAGTCATTTTCATGTATATCCTGAAAGTGGTCCAAATTTGGTAACTATTTTGATGAGACCGTATGCATAGACAATTACAATGAGAGCTCAAAACCTAAAATTTATACAAGGATACCTGTTGTAATATCCTTATCTACATATATCTTCCTCCCCACTTGAAGGGAGGTTAAGATAGTAAAAGATTTTGAAAGAAATGGAGGCTTTATCAGAAGCTGTCCATAAATCTTACTCTAGGCTGTGCACAGTTTCTGTTTAGTTCTCAGGAAATGGGGTGGCTGATGTCAGAGATAAAAGCCACAAAATGGTTTACTAAAGAAGCAGAAGTAGCAAGCCAGCAGGGTGATGGTGAATACTACAGTTAAATCATGAATGCTTAGCAAATATTTGTCTGTTAATGATAAACACCTATTGTAACCGCAAATAAACGTATTTATTTGATGTATAAATTGTACCATTTATGAGGCATTCACTTTAATGTAGAATAAAGGTATCACAGAAACTTATCACACAAATGTAAATGTCAGGTCTCTCTGTGAAGGCTGTGCTTTGCTTTAGCTACTGTAAATACTGATATTCAGAATGGACTTTAGTTAGTTTAGGGAAATTAATGTTTAGCAGGGGTCAGGATTAGTTCTTCCATTAGAGAAAATGAGATGGTTCATTTCCAATAGGAGTTCTGCAGATTTAACTCACAGTAGTTATTTTAATTATTAGGACATTTTAAACCACACTCACATTGGTTTATTTCATTGGTCTATGCTACATTAGAACAAATATTTTTTGCAAGCACACTCAGTAATTTAATAGCACATCATAATTTTATTTTTGTCTTATTTCTGTTAGGATAGAAAAAGGAAGTTTAATCCATTGGTCCTGGAAACTCTTTCTCTACTTTGTATTTCACATGCAGATTATTGCTAAATATGGTCAGAAAAAGGGAAGCCAGCACCTAGACCCAAGGTGAAATTTGGGTAGGAAAAATATGGGAGAGGAACAAGAATCTCATTCAACATGCCCTTTTTTTCTTGGCTACATTTTTAAAAGGAAAAAAGAGGAAAGCTGATGTGTAATTATTTGCTGAACACTGATGTGAAGCCTGACAGATATGGTGATATCGACATAGAAGAAGGATGGCTTTTTTGAGTGAAATTTTGTCACTGGGAGAGGATATTGAAACATGAAATATTTTAAAAAAAACCTCCACGTTTGTGTTTTCCATTGAATACATATACAGCATAGTTTCTGAACAATTTTTTTTTCAAAATGCACTCACAGATTGCACAGTCTCTGTTCTAGAGCAGGAAACATTCACATTCTCATATTTTTCATTGGAATTCAGAGATAATTCACTGCCTAATGATTACCTCAACTTACTATGTCACTTCCTGATAGTACAGTACTAACCATATTAGGGCACTCATCTGGTAATGCAAAGATGTAATATTTCAGCCACAGCTAGGATGAGCAATGGAGTCTAGAAAAGATACAGGAGCCGTGTGGCACACTGATTAAAATGCAGTATTGCAAGCTAACTCTGCCCACAACCAGGAGTTCGATCATGACAGGAGTTCAAGATTGACTCAGCCTTCCTTCCGAGGTCACTAAAATGAGAACCCAGATTTCTGGGGGCAATATATTGACATTTGTGAATTACTCAGAGAGTGTTGTAAAACACTATGGAGCAGTAAATAAGTCTAAGTACTATTGCTATTGCTATGCAGAAATTGTGCAAAGCTGACTTAAGAATTGGACACATGGGGCACTTTCACTATATTGGATGTTTTTACTCAGATACGGGATGTAAACAATTAGTGCCAGTGGCACAAAGTTATTTCAGCACCAGGCAAGAAACTAAAAGACCTGTATGAAAATCCTGCCACCCACTTAGTTCACTGGATTGCTGGGACCAATTACTATCCATCATCATAACTCCTCTTAGAAGGATAATATTCAGAAGGGTACCACTGAGATTATTGTAAATTCCTTGAAGATTAAAAAAATGTAGCAAATATTGTTAATTTTTGCCAAGAAGTTTCTGAGCAAGGTCAGAAAGTCAGCAATTACCAAACATGATTAGAAAAAGAAATTTGCAAACTTAGTGACCTTTAAAAGGCGTCAACCATGGTTGCAAATAAGTTGGTTATTCATGCCTCAGTGCTTAAAACCCAGCAGAGACTGCTGCCTTGTGGTCTCCTCATCAGGAGTGACTATTCTGAGTGCATGTGGGCAATCTCCCATCTTCTCCTTGTCCAGAGAGATTCTGAAGAACCAGTCTACTCACTGGCTTTTTGTTCTTTATTGCAGTCATTGGATTGCTTTTTGTCTGCAGTCTGTCATTTCTTCCACTGGAAGTCTGAGATTCTTTCCCCTAACCAATGTAGAAGTGCCATTTAGGCTAGGACAGAATACTTTTCTAAACTTTCCTATATAATTTGTTAAAAGTGCCCCAGATCTAGAATGCACCCATATGTGTATTTTCAGCTTCCTCTATAAGCAGTTGTTGTTTTCATACATTTCCTCTGAGCAATATTCTATGCAGAAGTAACCAGAAACACAGAAAAATGTTCATTGAAGGTGCAGTTGCAAGGTTTCCTAGGTGAACCTTTAATCTGGGAAGACCAAACCAGAGTGTTTGCAAAAATCCCCCAAAGTAGAAAGGCTGACAATGAATAGAGTTAGCATGACTGCTCTTTAGAAGGCCAGATCCTGAAGTTGAAACTCAAGTACTTTGGCCACCTAATGAGAAGGAAGGACTCACTGGAGAAGAGCCTAATGCTGGGAAAGATTGAGGGCAATAGAAGAAAGGGATGACAGAGAATGAGGTGGCTGGATGGAGTCACTGAAGCAGTAGGCGTGAGCTTAAATGGACTCCAGAAGATGGTAGAGGACAGGAAGGCCTGGAGGAACGTTGTCCATGGGGTCGCGATGGGTCGGACATGACTTCGCAACTAACAACAACAAAAGCCAGCAAAATTGGCAAAACATCTCCCCCAGTACATGCTTTCTAACCATAGACTGTTTAGTCCAATGGATAAAGAATTTAACCATTCTTTCCACTGGCAAATTCCCTTCAAAAAACTTTATTCTGAAAGTAAAACTGAGGCTGGAATCCCATACGTGTAAAGTAAGTCTTTTGGACATGTCTGGGCTTCTTTTTCAGGAAAAACACAAGTTCTGTGGATGCAAATTTTAGTGAAACTAAAATGCAGAACAAGATGCAAAAAAGGAACAGAGTTCTTTTAACAACTGAAAAGATAATTTTATACATAGCTAGAGCTGCTAACTTTTCCTTTTCAATATATAACTATTGTCTAGAGCAGACATGTCAAATTCGTGACATCACGTGATGTCACACAACGTATCGGGACAGTTTTGCCATTGCCTGCAATGGGATGGGCGTGGCTTCTGGATGACATGTCCGGCCCGTGGCCCGGCAGTTTGACACCCCTGGTCTAGAGTATATTGTCAATAGTATTATTATTGAAGACACTGAAATACTTGTCCTCTTTTCATCTGGCCACATTGGGAACTAAGCACTACATTACAGATTTATAACCAGCCACACACAATTCTCCAGTCCCAGGGAGAATAAATGTTACAGAGAAAGATTTGGAAATGTCATTGCCTCATTTAAAGTCTCTGTATCTTAACAATAACACTATATATTTATTTAGTAAATGGGCAGGCTTCCTGTTTCATATACATAATTTTGAGTGGTGCACAAGTAAAATAACAGAATAATAAAATTGGGAGGGACCTTGGAGGTCTTCCAGTCCAAACCCCAGCTCAAGCAGGAAACCCTACACCATTTCAGACAAATGGTTGTCCAATCTTTTCTTTAAAACCTCCAGTGTATGAGCACCCATAATTTCTGGAGGCAAGTCATTCCACTGATTCATTGTTCTAACTGTCAGGAAATTTTTCCTTAGTTCTAGGTTGGGTCTCTTCTTGATTAGTTTCCATTCATTGCTTCTTGTTCTGCCTTAGGGTGCTTTGGAAAATAAATTGATCCCCCTCTTCTTTCTGGCAGCTTCTTAGATATTGGAACACTGCTATCATGTCAACCCCTAGTCCTTCTGCTCTTAAACTAGATATACCCAATTCCAGCAACCTTCTTTGTATGTTTTAGCCTCAATTTCCCTAATCATCTTTGTTGGTCTTATCTGCACTCTTTCTAAAGTCTCAACATCTTTTTTATATTGTGGCAACCAAAACTGGATGCAATATTCCAAGTGTGATCTTACCAAGGTATTATAAAGTGGTATTAACACTTCACGTGATCTTGATCCTATCCCTCTGTTAATGCTGCCTAGGACTCTATTGGTCTTTTTGGCAGCTGGAGCACACTGCCGGCTCAAATTTAAGTGATTGTCCATTTAGAAAAGAATCAAAATACACAATAAAACTATCCAGAGTTTAAACAACAAGAATAACATAGAAATAAGGCTAAGATGACTCACCACCACTCATACCGGCCATGTCATGGACTCACTCCTGGTATCAGCATATCAGGCTCAATGGCAAAGCCAGATTTTTAGTGCCCTACAAGAAAAGAAGGGGCAAATCTAATTTCTTGGGGGCAATGTTCTAGAGGACGGGTGCCACAGCAGAAAAGTTGTTCTTCCTTTAATAAAGAGGAGTAGTTTAAATAATCTTGTAACTCCAGCTCTGAAAGAGCATGGTCTCTTACTACTGAGCCAAGTTCAAGCTATTGATGTTGTTGTGCAGAGCCCTAGGTGACTTGGGAGCTAGGAAGAAACAGTTCTTTCTGCATCATCCTGGTAATGCTTATTTGTTTAATGTATATTTCCTTCAATATTGCTGGTTTCTGTCTTTGGAAAAGAATCTTCATGTTGTCCTTTTATTAGAAGGGGTTTATTGAATGTTAACACATAGGGCTGTCTCCAGGATGATGTCCAGGCTTACTGGGAACCAATGCAGTGCCCACATTAATGGTCATCTGTAACAAATTTCACTGATCGCTGATATGTGTGTGTGTGTGTGTGTGTGTGTGTATCAGCGATCAGTGAAATTTATTACAGATGGCCATTAATGTGGGCACTATACTGGTTCCCAGTAAGCCTCCAAATACAATTTAATGTTCTGTTTTTGACCTCTAAAGACTTAAATGTCTAGTTTTTAAAATACAAGCAGGGCTACCTTCTCTGTGTAGAACCAACTTATATTTGTTTTGAGTGGAAATGTTATGGGTTTTGACTTCACATGAGGTGAGGTCATGGCTGGCCTCAGAATGGTGTTTGTTGATGGTGGCCTCTGCCTTCCCCGAAGTCCAAATCAGCAGCAACCCTGGCTTCATCCAGAAATGCAGTGAAGGTTGGAATAGTTCAAGGAGCTTTTGAAAGCTGAGATTACCTACTGCACGTGGATTTGTTCTTTACTTAGAAGATAGAAATTCAATCCACAAGTAGTGCTTAGTGATTGTGTTTGTGAAAAAGATCTTGAAATAATAATTGATATCAAACTGAATATCAGTAAGAAATGCCATATGGCTGCAAAGAAGAGAAATAGATTTTTAGATTGTATGAACAGAAGTATATTTCCATGAATTCAGTTTAAAAGAAGGCAACTGTGTGTTGGGGAAAATCACTTTGTGACAGTAAGAGAAATTTAACAATGGAACCAATTACTGAGAGTTGGGGACAGGGAGTTACTAATGATAGTTGCAAAAAAAGGGGGGAGATGTTTCTCATTGAATTACAGTCACCATAGTTCATATGGTAGCACTATGAGCAGGGTAGCAATATATTCCAGATGTACAAATTAAAAAGGCAGAAGCTTTACACCATATAAAAGCAACCACTTGCCACACACAGCACATTCTTTGCTAAGTATTTATGAGTAATGTATTTATAGCACACTTTAAAAGATGTACTTTCAGAATGAGTTGACCAGCAATTGCCTACGCCACTATATAAAACAGGAGAAAAAGCTCAATTTTTCAGAGCACAGAGATACAGATGTTACATTACATCACAAAACAATATCTGGCTAGCTATATTGGAGAATTTGGTGAAACCAATCACATAATACCTGCCTCCTGGTGGTCTATGCATAAATTCAATCAAAAGCATTTTCACTTAAAAGCATAAGATAATAGATGATAAGAAATATATTTGCCAGAAACCAGCAAAGCTACCATGGACATTTAGAATTCTTAGTTCTGGTTGAGATGAACTCTGAGATAAGAGTTACCACGTGGCAAGATGGGCGGTTAATACATTTTAGAAATAAATAAATAATCTGGACATAGCTGAATTGACTTTGTTCTGATAAGGCACCAGTTGATTGGTCAATACAAATGTAGCCCTGCTGAAATATCCTGTTTCCAGTCTGGGAGCAAAAAGGACCCTTGGAGAAATGCTATGAATATAAACTAGGATGGAATTTCTTTTCCAATAGAATTCAAAAGAGTAATATATATAAGGTTAAGGTTACATTATCTACAGGTCTACTGGTTACATTAACAGAATTTTGCAAGTTTGAGAGTACATCTCTCTCCTGTCACCTTTACAGCCCAAGAAATTAAGAAGGGTCCCTTCTGAGATTTTTGCCATATCCATTTTAGTGCTATGAGCTAAACTGCCTTTTACCGGACTGTTCCTGACTGCAGTTCTCGTCTCTCAAGGTTATTCTCTTATATCATTACATACTGTGACATAAAAGACTGTAATAAATACAATTTTCTATCACCTCCAGATAGAGAGGTTTACAAAATCTAGACTATATTCCAAAATGGTGCATAAAATCAACAGATGTTCTGGAAAGCTGTGTTTAAAATATATGTCATGTCTCAATACATATAAAGTGGATGCTTAGAAAAATATATAAGTTGCATAGAAATACTTTTAAACTACAAGGAAAAAAGACAGACAACATCCCTATGAAAACAGCTGCAAATAATTCAATGGGAGACTTGTCGGAATAAAATGTGAATATATGTGGCACTGCATGGGCCAAGTTTCCAAGTACATTGTATGTGGTACTGAAATGGAACCAGACATATTATACCGACTCTGGGAGCAGGCAGGAAATTAAGGAACAAATATGTGGAGATCACAGTGAATCCACCTTAATGTACTATTTTGCACAACAAAAGTGAGACACTCTGCTTCCTCCAAGCAGCAAGACAAGGCCAATCTCACATGATCTGCTGCTTCATTCTGGTAGAAGTAGCTTCTGAGCATGGACTGTTTTGTATGTTCAGAAATCTACAGAAAGTATGTACTTTGAAATAAATCTCTTCTTATTGGAATTTATGTCTAAATCTTAACTGTTTAATTTTCTATCCGTACAAAAAAGAAAATGTAATCCTGTAAATTACTGCATCTTAAATTTCTTCTATTTTGCTTTATAATGTCCAGATAGTGTTGCTGGCTAGGGATACTGGAAACATATTGGGGACTCGCTTGTTTTTGTCTAAAAGATATTACAAAATTACATCTTAGCATGGAAATAAGGCCTTCCATTGTCTTTACTTAAAGCTTTAATATCTTTAATAAATCTTTAATAAATCTCTATTTGAAATGGGGAAGAATCTTTTGACTGAACAAAGTTCCTGGTCACATTCAAGCAGGGGAGAAGGATATATTTCTCAGGCAAGATTTTTTTCCCTGCAAGAAGCTGATCATAAATGAAATGGTTGATTCTGTTAGAGACACTAAGCTCTCATGAACATGAGATGTGGGACATCAAGGCACTTTATGAAGTCACTTTGGAAAGGTGCTTCACTTAGAGCACTACTTCATGCTTTTGTAAGGGGTAAAATTCTCCAGGCATGTCTTCAGCTGATTTTAGTACTGGAACCACAGGCCAAAGATAAATATTTTTACATACAAAGCCTCTTTTCCCCAAGCTTTCTGTATCTTAATAATCTAATTTAGGAAGGGGAAATGCATTTTATTTTTATTATTATTAAACCAATGGAATCCTTGTTGGAATCTATCAACCTCCTGCCTGCCAGTGGTCTAACCTTTACAAGGAACTATTTTTTTAATGATAAATTAACATAAAAAGATGAGATTAAAATACTTCAGCTTTAACAATTATCCTTTAGTGCACTGCTGAAAAATTATATATTTTTTTAAAAAACTATTCTAATTCATTCTTATCAGGGAAAAATACTTTCAATATAGAAAAGAGAAGAAAGTTTCAGAAAAATCCTGATGGTTAGAGTACAGGATAATTGTGTTTACTGGAATAATACGATTACTAGGAGGGGGTAACCTTGATTTTTTTGGCCATTTGGAGAGATGGGCTGAAGCTACCCTTGCTCCCCCCTTCAGCTATATTTTATGGAAGTCAATATGAAGGAACTTTTCTGGGGTCTTTTCAGAATATCAATGATAGACAACCACAAAGAGTCATGAAGAACAGATAGTAGAAAAGTCACATCCATAAAAACAATATTCCCCATTCACCAGACAATATTACTGGATATAACAGGATAGCCAGGTTTTTTAATTTCCTTTCTCAGATGGAGGAATCAAAGGTTTTATAGCTTAGAAGCAGTGGTGGGATTCAAATATGTGAACAACCGGTTCTCTGTGTGAATGCCACTTGTGGAAGTCCATTCTGGGCCTGGGCAGCAACAAATTAGCTACCGGTTCTGCCGAACTGGTGCAAACTGGCTGAATCCCACCACTGCTTAGAAGGGATACTAACCTTCCATTCCTCCTGTTCCTAAGTAGCTGCCCTGCATGCAGCCAAAGAAGAAATAAGGCTATTGGAAGAGAATCACGATTATGGATGACCCAGCAATCAAATAACTCTCCATTTCTCAAGCACTTTCCCTAATTTTTTATTTGGGGTGGGGAGCACTAGCTCTAGTCTTTGCATGTAGACTTGTTTGATTTTAAAAGCTTCCCCAAATGGATCAAGTTTCAGACAGCTGGTTACAGTTTTGAGATAGCTTACAGATACAATGGACAGTAGCCATCATTGCCTTTCATTTAATATTGCTATGATAACATGGAAAAGAAAATTATGTACACAGCCAAGAGCTCTTGGAAAAAAGGAAAGGATTGAAAATAAAACACAACTGATTACATCTAGTAACTGGGAGCTGCACATATCTAAGATGTGTGTGTCTCTGTCAGATTTTAGATACATCAGAAGTTACTGTGATGATCCTATTTCATATTTTCTGATCTGAATAATTGGCATACAACTCCATCTCTGAATAGCACCTTTATGAGGGTGTGCTTGAAATAAAAGACTTGACAATTTGAACTATCTGATTATTTCTTCTCCAATAATTTACCTTTTCCTAAGTTCTTGGCCTGCCTCTTTATAACTTCATATCAAGATATTATATCATGATATAATTATATTATATCTATCATTTACCTGCAAGTCACAAGGAAACTCCATTAAGGACCAAGTCAAAGTACACATCTAAGCCACACCTGCTGAAAACCTCCTTTCTGTATCACCAGAATGGAGATGAATGAAAACATATAAAAAAAGTTGTATCAGATAA